AGGTTTCAGGGTTTCAAATGAACACTTTTTTATTTTGTCCAAACTAATAGTCATGGAAATAAAAATGCTAGAAAGTTGTGTGAGCCACTGTATGTTACACTGTCCCATGACAACACTGACTAGGGTTAAGAAATCAAGACCTAACGCTAACCACAGACAGAATTCACATTGTATCACAGCAGAAAATCATTTGCCTTGTGTTATTTGTGTGATGCAAGTGGTGCGAGCCTAATCGAGGGATTGGTTAAAGCGTAGTCCATCCGATAATCTGTCCGAAGAACAAACCAATGAGAATTTGTAAATTTTTAATCAACCCGGCAAAACAAATTTGAAGCAAAGACAAAAAAAATGAAAAATATGGAAGATGTATGCTTTAATCTATCTTGGAGTCCTCCACCCTAACCTTAACCCTAAAGCTAATAAAGCAACCTTTAACACTGTGATAAACACGCATCACATGTCCACCAGGCTTTAGCCTGAACGATTCGGACCACTATTATTAGTAAATCTTAATCAATCTGGATCAGAATCTGACATTGGAAAGTGAGTTTAATTTTGATTAAATAATACAATCATTTTGCGATCATGTTTTTCAAATAAAGTGAATAATGCGTGGTCTAATAATAAAAAAATGGTGGTAGCTTATTTTCGGGGCATGACACCGATTTTAGGCTGAAAAAATGGGAGGTACGTAGTTTATTTATATATCATCATTTTTCGTCAATGTTATACATGTACGTACGTACAAACAGAAAAATACATGTACGTACATACGTAAATGGCCGTTGATCATTGGAAAAATTCTGATTTTATTTTTTTCACATTAATAAAATTACTTTTCAAATAATTTGTTTATTAAAATGGATCCTGGAATTAGTATTAGTAATTATTATTTATATTAATAATAAGCTCTGTTTTATTTATATTTTTTCAATATGTTCATAAAAACGGTTTATTAATTTTTAAATTTAGTTAAACCTTATTATGAAAAGAAACTACTAGAAGGTGAGAAAAAAGCATTTGAATGGTTTTTTCAATATGTTCATAAAAACGGTTTATTAATTTTTAAATTTAGCTAAACGCTATCGAGAGAAAGAGAAACTAGAAGGTGAGAAAAAAGCATTTGAATGGTATTCGAAATCAGCAGAAAGTGGGAATGCTGGAGGACAATGTGAACTTGGTGTTTGTTACCAATTTGGCATTGGCGTACAAAAAGATGAGAAAAAAGCATTTGAATGGTATTTGAAATCAGCCAAAGGTGGAGATGCTAGAGGACAATGTGAACTTGGTGTTTGTTACCAATTTGGCGTTGACGTACAAAAAGATGAGAAAAAAGCATTTGAATGGTATTTGAAATCAGCAGAAAGTGGAGATGCTGGAGGACAATTTAATCTTGGTTTTTGCTATCAAACTGGTGTTGGCGTACAAAAAGATGAGAAAAAAGCATTTGAATGGTATTTAAAATCAGCCAAGGGTGGAAATGCTGTAGGACAATGCAATCTTGGTTTTTGCTATAAAAATGGTGTTGGCGTACAAAAAGATGAAGAAAAAGCATTTGAATGGTATTTGAAATCAGCCGAGAGTGGAGATGCTAGGGGACAATGTAATCTTGGAATTTGCTATGAAAATGGAGTTGGCGTACAAAAAGATGAGAAAAAAGCATTTGAATGGTATTTGACATCAGCCGAGGGTGGAAATACTGAAGGACAATTTAATCTTGGCATTTGCTATCAAAATGGTGTTGGCATACAAAAAGATGAGAAAAAAGCATTTGAGTGGTATTTGAAATCAGCAGAGGGTGGTGATGCTTTAGGACAATATAATCTTGGTTGGTGTTATGAAAATGGATTCGGAACACAAAAAGATGAGAAAAAATCATTTGAATGGTATTTGAAATCAGCCAAGGGTGGAGATGCTAGAGGTCAATATAATCTTGGCTTCTGTTATGAAAATAGTATTGGAACACCAAAAGATGAGAAAAAAGCATTTGAATGGTATTCGAAGTCAGCCGAGGGTGGAGATGCTAGAGGGCAATATAATCTTGGTGTTTGCTATGAAAATGGTGCTGGCGTACAGAAAGATAGCAAAAAATCATTTGAATGGTATTCGAAATCAGCCGAAGGTGGAGATGCTAGAGGACAATGTAACCTTGGAATTTGCTATGAAAATGGTATAGGAACAAAAAAAGATGACGAAAAATCATTTGAATGGTATCTGAAATCAGCCGAACGTGGAAACACTCAAGCACAGTTTAATGTAACAGCATGTTTTTTTAATGGAAAAGGCGTTGTCAAGAGTGAAATCGAAGCTTTAAAATGGCTCCAAATATCTGCAAAAAATGAGAATGCTCAAGCACAATTTATTTTAAGTAAATGCTGCAAAGCATTAAATACACCTTCCCTTCATAATGCTGAAATACAGTCTAATCATTTCATTAATTTAAAAGAGATAAGTATTCAATATGAAAAAATTAACCTATCATATGGACTAAATTTTCGAAAGTATCGAGTTGAGCAAACTATTCATCCTGCAATTGATTTTGAATTTACACCGTTATTTACAAACAACAGTAGTAAAAGTTTTATGCTTAAAAAAACAACAAAAGGTTCGGATTTATTTTTGCTAACACAAGGATTAATAATAGATTCGAATTTGAATTTGGATCACAAATTACTTATCGATAATGAAATTTTTGATGAGTTAAAAACGAACAATATCTATTGCGAAATCATTAGTGAGCAATTATCAATCGAAATCAATATTCAGGCGCTAAAGCCAACTAGAAATTTAAAGTTAGCAATTCAAACAGCACTAGAATCAAATACACCAATTGAAAATTTAAAACTTGTGCTTCAAGAGTTTGGAAATTTTTTTCCCACAAAAATCATACTTGGTAATAAGTTACAAAGAATAGCTCATTTGGAGGAGATTTGTGACGAAAATGCCAACTACATAGATAATGCATGTGCACACGGATTTGATAAATTCTCAAATATAGGTATATTTTTAATAAGGTACGAATATATATATATATATGTATATAATGGTTTATTATTAAATTTTTTCAGAAAACCTTCTTGTAAATTGGAAAGAAAATATTCAACAATTTGATTCCTCGTATATGATTGAAATGGGCGGTGATCCTATCGATTTAAGGTACAGTATTTAATAAATTGTGAAATATTTTTTCAAAGCTCCTACTTATATGTAATTATCTCATATTAGTCAAATTCCTGAATGGCTTGAAAATATTTCTAATCAACACTCTGAATGGCATATTATAAAACGCGTTGTCATACCATTATACAAAATTCTTGATAAAAACCAACAACGGGATATTGAAAATCTTTTAATAAATAAAGATTACGTGTTAATGAAAGAAAATACCCCATTTTTCAACTATAGCACTGGATATCAACGAATTTTGTTTGATAGTCAATTGAAGAGTAATAATTACCAATTATTTGGAATTGTAACTTGCAATGGTGAAAAATTGGAAAATGTCTACGTGAGATTCAGTTTGAAAACAGTTTATGGATTTTCAGTGAGTTGGCATGATTTTCGACAAGATTACATCCCAGTGAATGATAGCGATAGGATAACTTTTGACAGGTAGAATATAGTTAGTGATAAATTTTATTTTATTTTTTTGAAAAATAATTAATATATTCGTTTTTTTTTAAGTTCACAAACATATATACTTCAGTGGATTATAATCGGTTGCCCAAGTGAAATAGGATATTTCGACCCAACAACTCGTAACATATCGGTCAAATCTGGTGTTAAAGAATTAAAACTAAAGCATGATATGACAACTCAATCGACACCGATTGAAGTTGGGAAATCACTATTTCAAAAAAACATTGTTATACTTGATGTTGAATATACTCCGTTACCAACATATCTGTTTTTCAAAACAAAAATTGGAGAATGGAAGGAAGACGGATCGTTTGAAATACAAATACAAGAAGAAAATAGTAAACCTATCGCTATGGATGATGACTACATTGCTAAAATTCGTTGGTGTGTTTTGAAAATTGATGATCCTCAAAAACGAACGTGGGAACATTTAGGCGAGCTTTTATTGAATTAACAATCGCAAAAATCTTATCAACTAGAATTTGACGGGGTTAATGAGATTTGACCGAGTTTGATAACGATAAGTTGATTGGATTGATAGCTTACCAATCAGTTAGACAGACTTATCCGTTATCGCTATCGGCATATAAAGCAGATTTAGACACTAGCGTTGTAAAATAATTAATAATTGCGATATCGATATTTAATGTCATTTCTACATGAACTTTTAATATAATATTTATAATTACTAGCATCCAATTATTAGAAATTTAATGAAATTTTATTTCGAAATGATTCTTTTGATGTTAACTTTCGAAAAAACCTTGACTGTACGTATATTTATTTATCAAAGTTAAGGCATTTTTTTGGCATATTAATAAAAATAATCTAATTTAGATAAATTTCAAATATTAGAAATTCAGCTTTAATTCAAATCTTTCACGCAATTGAGTGCATTATGCCGTCCTTTCATCATAATGATAGTATTTTTTGCGTGAACCTTACTTTTCCGCAATCAATTTAGAAAAAATGGAAATACACACATAAATACTATTATTGTTATTTAGCGAACAATTTGAAAATTCGGTTTATTGAGATGTATTTCCTATAATTGTTTCAAATTTAATTATATCGTTATATCCAGGTTCGTTATTTGAGTCTGATTGCATACATTGCCATCTGCGATAGAATTAATATTTCCTAGAATTATTTTATTAGGTTCCATAGAATTTTAGGTAGCAGTCTTTAGCGTTAGCGTTAGCGTTATCGTTGTCCCAAATGTCGACCACATTAAAAAAGGTATGGTACATTTGTATTTTAAAAATGGATAACGATAACTACATGTATAAACATTACTAAATACATGTACAAACGTTTGATGACTAGATTTTATGCACCAGATACATATACATGTAATAAAAAAACTGTTAAATTGAAAGAAAAATTCGTACCGTTACGGATTACACTTTTAGTAATACATGTACATGTACATGTATTTTGTTGAGTCAGTGTAACTTTGAATTATTCGAATTAAAAATTACATGTATGTACATGTATATGGCACACGAATTCCACAATTCACACTGAACTACATGTATTTGAATTAATTGGCTAATTACATATTTTCAGTTTTATTCTTCATTTTCTGCATAAAAAATGGAGGAAAAAATTACAGTTCAAGTCAATGATGATGATACGCCCGTCCTTATCAAACTTACATTAGATGCAAAACTTGCCGAGATACGTAAAATACTTGCTGACAAGCCTGATATAAGAATGGGCGATAAAGTTTATTTTTTGGACCTATCTCGCAAATATAATCCAAAAATACCGCATGAAGACGAAGAGGAACATTGTTTAAAAGATATTCTTGGCTGTCATAAGAATTTAAAGATCACGGGTAATATCGAACCACAATGGACAGAGATTATAGTAAATAATTCTCTTGAATATGGGGTATTTTTTAAGGAGGATGGACCGGAATATGCTACGAAAAGAAAAGCTTTCAAGATTTTACAAGTTCCCGAGTCTATTTTACCGGATCCAATTAGTTTTGACAAGGAGAGGATTTGCAAGACAGAAATCGATGAAATTTATTTGAAAAATTTATTTGCAACGACAAAGTTCGGAGGGAAATTGCCACAGTAAGGCTTTAAACATAATGTTGTTGCAATATAAATTCTTTTTACATATTTGTTTATGTTTACACACCTCTTTTAGCTTTCCTTCTATTGCAACAACTGATGGCTCTTACATCTCGAAATCCGAGATCCACAGAAACAATGCAAAATTCGAGAGATACTGTACGTCAGTAAGAATAAACGCAGTATTTAACATGACCAAAACTGAAATTGAACCCACAGACGAATTCGTTTCGGCAGTCGATGAGGCACTCAAATCAATAGATCCATGCCAATCTCTTAAACAAGTTACCGAAGCTTTTGGAGAATATTGGTGTGAAGAAGTTAAGCTTGGTGGAAGCATTTTATATGTTAATAAAAAAGAATCAAAAGTTAAAGAAACAGCTGATTCTAAAGATCAAAACGCATCTGCAGGTTTAAATTCAAATGATGCTATTCAAGTTGGAGCAAGTATGGGAAAAAATCAAGAAAAAAAGACTTCGAATTCATTGGAAAAGGAATATTCATTTATGAAAATACGAGGAGGCTCAGAAACAAAACTTCACAAGAAAGGTATTCCTGGTAAGTATAATTATTTTTTTAACTTCCAAGTTATAATTATTCATTTATAGTAATGAATCATTTTATAGAATGGCTAAAATCCCTAAGGAATTATAAGAAATGGCGTGTGATAGAATATTCGAAAATTCATTCCATATTTGATATTCTTGCTAAAGAAAAACAAGAAAAAGTAGCAGAAGCTTTTGGAGAGCGAATTATTGATTCGCAAGTTCTAAAATTAGATATCATAATGGACATTTCTAAACCGGATCCATTTGTATATGAGATCCCGAAAAAATATGATTTAACAAACTATAAAATTTTTATTACGGAAATGAAAGATGATAAATCTGATACAATATTTGCATCTCGAGTTCATTATTATGCCGATAGCGATAAAAAACAACCAATAATTGCCGATAGCGATAAAGACCAATCAGTAATTGCCGATAACGATAAAGAGCAGCTATTAATTACCGATAACGATAAAGAACAATCATTAATTGCCGATAACAATAAAAAACAACCAGTAATTCTATTGCATCGACTTGGAAAGTTAAAAAAACAATCAGAACTCCGAAAGTTTTCAGTGAAATTGGGTTTGATCTTACTCGGTACATCAACCAAATTGAATCTTCCTGGGCAAAATTCCTCACAGCTAGAATTTGAGAGCGGTGAATCACCAATCACAGTGAATAACGCGAATAATAAGTGCTCAGCAGATATCCCAACACACCAAATTAATCTAAATACAAGTCTTTTGGCCACTTTTGTTTCAAGATCAAACGATTTGCATGATAAGTTTCCTACTTCGAAACATATTGCCAGAGCCCATTTTGTTAATAAAAACGATTCCATTGAAGCTTGTGCATTTTACTATGATCTTGAAAGTAGTAAGTATTATAAGTTAGTATAAAGTATCCATTGTTCTTACAAGTGGTATTGGTTCTAATAATTTCATGTCGAATATCGAAATAAATTAAAAAGGAAAACTGGATTATCAGTTTGCGCTAAAAGATAGAACTGTAGAGTTTTTGATCAATTACAGGTTAGCATATGTGTCTTTCTTAATAAATATTTTTAATACTGACAGTATATTCTTTTTAGTATAATTTCTGGACAAGTAGGAGAAATTAAATTTGGCCGGGCTCCAATAAAGAAATTTACCAAATCTATAAGCAGACGATTAACTCGTTCAAAAAGATTCAAAATTCTATTCGATGACTATCTTGATTTAGCTCGAAAGTCTTGCTTAGAAAACCCGATTTTTGTTAATTTGCTCCTTAACGAATGTCCAGAAAACTGTCCCCATGGAGTCTTTAATATTACACTTGATCATGCGGCATTTAAGACTATTATTAATAGTTCGGGTTTACAAAGTGCACAAATAGCATATTTTAGTGTTCAAACTTTTAAAGATAATGAATAAACCTTTGTAATTTAATTTTGACTTAGCGTTAGGATTTACTTTACGTATGTATTAACGATTTATAAACTTCCTTATTGGATAATAATTAAATTATCATTTTAATATTAATAAATTATATTTTTAAAATAAATAAGGAGCTTTTAAAATCATTGCTAATTGAGTTATCTCAGGCACAATTTATTAGAAAGGATCACAAAAAAGTTTGCATATACAGTATATCGATATATAGCGATAGTAGAATTTCAATCCTTGTTTTAATACGTAGCCATTCGGCTAATTTGGTAAACGCCCTTTGTTCGTTCCATACGGTGGATAATGAAAAATTTCCATGAACGAGTGTATCATAACCAGTTAAAACATAGTGGTAGACAGACACAAACAAATTGTTTAACGTTAAAGATACGTCCGTGCATTGTCGTTATCGTTATTGAACTGTGATGTAAATAATAATATCCAATCAAAACAAAGTACGTATTGCAAAAACAAGTTTTGAGTTCTCGAAATAAAGTATTGTAGACGTTTCTCAGGTTTCGTTTTATTGATAATGTGACACCACACCAAAACTTAAGAATTCGTGCAATTTTTCAAATACCTGAGAAAAGTGACTTCTATGTTAGTCTGTATGATTCATCGCAATTATGCGTAATACAATAATACAACTCATCCTACGTATATACACGTAATTGCTTGTAATTCGTTTCCTAATAAATTTCAAGCAAGAAAGTTGAATATGATAAATTGAATTTTATAAACTAATTCGACAAGCAAATGGCAAACAGTTCGAAGTATCAAGTGTGTGAACTTTATACAGAAAATATGTACCGAATGCGACAACAATATTAATAGTGATGAGTGAGTATAATTGCTTTTTTTAATTTTTAATATTTTAAAAATTAGGATGCATTCAACAAAAAGACAGTAGGATGTACACGTAATACAATGGCTCACACATGTAACACGAAATTAACTTTCTAAAGTTTTTATTTTTATTTCTATGACTATTAGTTTGAACAAAATAAAAAAAGTGTTTGAGACCTTGAAACCACTAATATTTTTAAAAAATAATTTGACAACAGATTATTTTGTGAAATAAATCAAAATTTACAATTAGTAAATTTCTCACATTGGAGAACTTTTCTATGACGAATTCAAATTTGGACCACTAGTTAAAAATGTTATACTCTATGAAATCTATCTATTTACCAATTTTCATAAATTTCACCGAGATTTGAGACCCATGTATTAATGCTCCTAGCATAGATTATCTTAAATATCTATAAAAATTAAGCCGATTTTTATGAAAATTGGTGAATAGATAGATGTCATAGAGTAGCACATTTTTAATTAGTGGTCCAAATTTGAATCCGGCATAGAAAAAAGTTCTTCGATGTGAAAAATTTACTAATTGTAAATTTTGATTTAAATTACTTTATTTCACAAAATAATCTGTTGTCAAATTATTTTTTAAAAATATTAGTGGTTTCAAGGTCTCAAACACTTTTTTTATTTTGTTCAAACTAATAGTCATAGAAATAAAAATAAAAACTTTAGAAAGTTAATTTCGTGTTACATGTGTGAGCCATTGTATTACGTGTACATCCTACTGTCTTTTTGTTGAATGCATCCTAATTTTTAAAATATTAAAAATTAAAAAAAGCAATTATACTCACTCATCACTATTAATATTGTTGTCGCATTCGGTACATATTTTCTGTATAAAGTTCACACACTTGATACTTCGAACTGTTTGCCATTTGCTTGTCGAATTAGTTTATAAAATTCAATTTATCATATTCAACTTTCTTGCTTGAAATTTATTAGGAAACGAATTACAAGCAATTACGTGTATATACGTAGGATGAGTTGTATTATTGTATTACGCATAATTGCGATGAATCATACAGACTAACATAGAAGTCACTTTTCTCAGGTATTTGAAAAATTGCACGAATTCTTAAGTTTTGGTGTGGTGTCACATTATCAATAAAACGAAACCTGAGAAACGTCTACAATACTTTATTTCGAGAACTCAAAACTTGTTTTTGCAATACGTACTTTGTTTTGATTGGATATTATTATTTACATCACAGTTCAATAACGATAACGACAATGCACGGACGTATCTTTAACGTTAAACAATTTGTTTGTGTCTGTCTACCACTATGTTTTAACTGGTTATGATACACTCGTTCATGGAAATTTTTCATTATCCACCGTATGGAACGAACAAAGGGCGTTTACCAAATTAGCCGAATGGCTACGTATTAAAACAAGGATTGAAATTCTACTATCGCTATATATCGATATACTGTATATGCAAACTTTTTTGTGATCCTTTCTAATAAATTGTGCCTGAGATAACTCAATTAGCAATGATTTTAAAAGCTCCTTATTTATTTTAAAAATATAATTTATTAATATTAAAATGATAATTTAATTATTATCCAATAAGGAAGTTTATAAATCGTTAATACATACGTAAAGTAAATCCTAACGCTAAGTCAAAATTAAATTACAAAGGTTTATTCATTATCTTTAAAAGTTTGAACACTAAAATATGCTATTTGTGCACTTTGTAAACCCGAACTATTAATAATAGTCTTAAATGCCGCATGATCAAGTGTAATATTAAAGACTCCATGGGGACAGTTTTCTGGACATTCGTTAAGGAGCAAATTAACAAAAATCGGGTTTTCTAAGCAAGACTTTCGAGCTAAATCAAGATAGTCATCGAATAGAATTTTGAATCTTTTTGAACGAGTTAATCGTCTGCTTATAGATTTGGTAAATTTCTTTATTGGAGCCCGGCCAAATTTAATTTCTCCTACTTGTCCAGAAATTATACTAAAAAGAATATACTGTCAGTATTAAAAATATTTATTAAGAAAGACACATATGCTAACCTGTAATTGATCAAAAACTCTACAGTTCTATCTTTTAGCGCAAACTGATAATCCAGTTTTCCTTTTTAATTTATTTCGATATTCGACATGAAATTATTAGAACCAATACCACTTGTAAGAACAATGGATACTTTATACTAACTTATAATACTTACTACTTTCAAGATCATAGTAAAATGCACAAGCTTCAATGGAATCGTTTTTATTAACAAAATGGGCTCTGGCAATATGTTTCGAAGTAGGAAACTTATCATGCAAATCGTTTGATCTTGAAACAAAAGTGGCCAAAAGACTTGTATTTAGATTAATTTGGTGTGTTGGGATATCTGCTGAGCACTTATTATTCGCGTTATTCACTGTGATTGGTGATTCACCGCTCTCAAATTCTAGCTGTGAGGAATTTTGCCCAGGAAGATTCAATTTGGTTGATGTACCGAGTAAGATCAAACCCAATTTCACTGAAAACTTTCGGAGTTCTGATTGTTTTTTTAACTTTCCAAGTCGATGCAATAGAATTACTGGTTGTTTTTTATTGTTATCGGCAATTAATGATTGTTCTTTATCGTTATCGGTAATTAATAGCTGCTCTTTATCGTTATCGGCAATTACTGATTGGTCTTTATCGCTATCGGCAATTATTGGTTGTTTTTTATCGCTATCGGCATAATAATGAACTCGAGATGCAAATATTGTATCAGATTTATCATCTTTCATTTCCGTAATAAAAATTTTATAGTTTGTTAAATCATATTTTTTCGGGATCTCATATACAAATGGATCCGGTTTAGAAATGTCCATTATGATATCTAATTTTAGAACTTGCGAATCAATAATTCGCTCTCCAAAAGCTTCTGCTACTTTTTCTTGTTTTTCTTTAGCAAGAATATCAAATATGGAATGAATTTTCGAATATTCTATCACACGCCATTTCTTATAATTCCTTAGGGATTTTAGCCATTCTATAAAATGATTCATTACTATAAATGAATAATTATAACTTGGAAGTTAAAAAAATAATTATACTTACCAGGAATACCTTTCTTGTGAAGTTTTGTTTCTGAGCCTCCTCGTATTTTCATAAATGAATATTCCTTTTCCAATGAATTCGAAGTCTTTTTTTCTTGATTTTTTCCCATACTTGCTCCAACTTGAATAGCATCATTTGAATTTAAACCTGCAGATGCGTTTTGATCTTTAGAATCAGCTGTTTCTTTAACTTTTGATTCTTTTTTATTAACATATAAAATGCTTCCACCAAGCTTAACTTCTTCACACCAATATTCTCCAAAAGCTTCGGTAACTTGTTTAAGAGATTGGCATGGATCTATTGATTTGAGTGCCTCATCGACTGCCGAAACGAATTCGTCTGTGGGTTCAATTTCAGTTTTGGTCATGTTAAATACTGCGTTTATTCTTACTGACGTACAGTATCTCTCGAATTTTGCATTGTTTCTGTGGATCTCGGATTTCGAGATGTAAGAGCCATCAGTTGTTGCAATAGAAGGAAAGCTAAAAGAGGTGTGTAAACATAAACAAATATGTAAAAAGAATTTATATTGCAACAACATTATGTTTAAAGCCTTACTGTGGCAATTTCCCTCCGAACTTTGTCGTTGCAAATAAATTTTTCAAATAAATTTCATCGATTTCTGTCTTGCAAATCCTCTCCTTGTCAAAACTAATTGGATCCGGTAAAATAGACTCGGGAACTTGTAAAATCTTGAAAGCTTTTCTTTTCGTAGCATATTCCGGTCCATCCTCCTTAAAAAATACCCCATATTCAAGAGAATTATTTACTATAATCTCTGTCCATTGTGGTTCGATATTACCCGTGATCTTTAAATTCTTATGACAGCCAAGAATATCTTTTAAACAATGTTCCTCTTCGTCTTCATGCGGTATTTTTGGATTATATTTGCGAGATAGGTCCAAAAAATAAACTTTATCGCCCATTCTTATATCAGGCTTGTCAGCAAGTATTTTACGTATCTCGGCAAGTTTTGCATCTAATGTAAGTTTGATAAGGACGGGCGTATCATCATCATTGACTTGAACTGTAATTTTTTCCTCCATTTTTTATGCAGAAAATGAAGAATA